GCGGCGTGGAGGGGTGGTGCGGAGCCGGGGTGGGCTGCGCTGTGCGCGTGGAAGTTGGTGCCTCTGGGGCGCCGTGGGGAGGGGGTCTGGTCTGGCAGCGTTCTCTTCAGCGCGTGCACCGTGCGAGGCCACCCATCCTGGTATCCGGGCCTCTGTGGTGAGCAGCTTGCCTTTTCTTTTTTTATGAACCATTTGCTGATGTGTATGTCGGGCACTCAGTACTGGTAGGCGACCAAGGTCACAACGGCATGGTTTTGTCATAGCCGTGCCCTCCTTGGCGGGCTCTGTCCCCTGACCCTGCGCCCGGATGAGGGGGACAGGATGGGCGTAAGCAAACCTGCCAGATGTGCTTCTATGGGGCTGGCTGCTGACCCTGGTCCTTGCTCCCTAGGTGCGCTGTCCTGAGCCCTGGGGATACGCCCAGGAGCCAGCGTAGGAGGCCGTGATCTGGGGTCAAGTGACAGGGACTTGGAAGAGGTGCCCCGTGCTCTGCGTCATCCTTGGTGGCCGAAGCTGCTTCGCGGAGCAGGTGGGGTTTGTGTTCGGTTAGGTCATTAGAGCAAGGAGGGGTGCGTGCTGGGGACGAGGGGTGCACATTCACAGCCTGCAGGTGGTTGACGTGGATTAATGTGGGCAGTGTGGACGGGATTGGTAAGAATACAGCGTGTGCCTCAAGGTGACCTGGTAAATCAGGGCAAGGCTGGCCTTCCAGCAAGCACATCTGGTCCAGCGTCAGCACAGAAAGGGCCGTGGTCTCAGACCCCCGGACGCCTCCATCCCCAACAAGACACGTGGCCACCACCTCGCCACGAGCAGGGCTGAGAATCCGAATCCGAGCCCCGGGACGGCTGGGGCTCTGCACAGGTAAACTGTCCCCCTCGACGGCAGAGGTATCAATCATCTGGGCCCCCACTCCGTACCCAGGAGGGCCACCCTGAGAAAAGGTCGGGGTCTGTGCACCAGTTTCCCAAATGCCGCAGCACCCGGGCACAGCGGGGAAGCAGCCCAGATGCCTGCAGGGTTCGTGTGGGATCCGTCCATCTGTCTGTGCCCGGCTCCGGCCCCCGCCCCACCCGGTAACCACCACGGGCCCCAAGCCAGTGTGACACCATCCGTACTCTGAGCCCCACGCAGGAGCCTGCCCCACACTCTCCCGGATGGGCCTCCGCTGGGGCAGCGAGGACCACAGGAGCCGAGGGATGTATGCAAGACTGCGCCCAGAAGGCTGTGGGGCGTCCTACATGCCAGCTTCCGCCCCTGGAGGACCCAGGCCGAGCCGACCCTGACGGGTGGCACCCACAACTGGCCAAGAGCAAAGCAAGGGGCGGCAGCGACGAGCGAAGGGCCCACGTCTTCTTTCACGCAGCCAACCGCGACGGGCGTGCGCACAGACGGCCGAGCACCCGACGGAACGTGACCCGGGGCGCAGCAAACACAACTCGGTGTTAGTGTTCCATGTGCACGTTTATTTCTCTCAAAGACCGTTCATGTTCCAGCCACACCTTCCGCGGTTTGGTGCAGGACAGTGACGTGTTTTTATTTTTTTTATTATTATTTATTTTTTTTTAACGTTTATTTTTGAGACAGAGAGAGACAGAGCATGAACAGGGGAGGGTCAGAGAGAGGGAGACACAGAATCTGAAGCAGGTCCAGGCTCTGAGCTGTCAGCACAGAGCCTGACGCAGGGCTCGAACTCACGGACCGCGAGATCATGACCTGAGCCGAAGTCGGCCGCTTAACCAACTGAGCCACCCAGGCGCCCCAGTGACGTGTTTTTAAAGTGCTACTGCGGAATACGATCGCCGTCGGGGGCAGAACCATCACCACGCTCAATCATCAAGCCAGACCCGGCCACATGCCTGGAAAACCATGCGTTTTCTTGTTTTAAAAGAAAACTCTAGCTTTGATGGGACACTGGGGTGAAACACCACAAGCCCAAATCACAAACGGTATGTTCCCGACCAGCTGGGAGCGGGGTGGACTGGGCAGGAGGGCGCATTCCGGATGCCTCCTCACGCATCCAACGGGAGTGCTGAAGAAAGGGACCCGGAGGGAACCTGAGTGCTCTGCAGGAAGTGGCAGTGTGAGTGTGCCCGTGCCACATGCTTTGGTAATCAGGCCTGAGCAGGTTTGGGACAGTGGAGACGGGGGCCTGGCATCCGGGTCTACACCAGCGCGAGACCCGTTTCCCACCCGGCAGAAACGTCCTGACTTGCAGCGATTGCCGGCTTGTGCCACGAGGCTTCGAGACTGTGACATGCGAGACTATTATGCGGAACCACCCCCCCCCCCCCCCCCCCCAGCTGGTGGCAGCGACAGAAGTTAATCTGGCCCTTTCTGCTCCAGAAGAGAATGTGCCAGGCCTCTCCGGCAAAACCCATCAGAAATCTAGACGGGCAGCGACTGGCCAGGTAGCCACCAGCAGGAATCAAGGGTTGGTCTCCAACTTAAACTGGAGGGTCGGTTTACGTAAAGTGCTCTGTCCAAACCTCCTTCTTCACAGCCGGTTTTCAGCCGGGACAATGCGATCGCTGCTTCTGTTCTCGCTGCGCTAATCACACGCGCGCGAGGCTTCCCTGCGTGCCTCTGCAAAGGTCACGGGCACAGCCCCGGACCGGGCAGTGCCACCGGCGTGCCAGAACCAACGTGAGCACCCCGTTCCTGATGCACAGGTGCCCCACTCAGACCTTAGCGTCCAGAAGAAACCGCTTTGGACACGCCAGTCTGCAAAACAGCCCGGAGGCCAACAAAAAAGTCCTCCAGCCGCTAACGCACAAGGGAAGGGAGGAAGGCTTTACAAACTCGTATGTGTAGTCCTCGGTGTGTGACCTTAATCGGTGTTTGAGTTCAGTGTTCGTGTTCGCATGAATCCCTACGCGGGAAAGCGCAGGCCTGGGTAAGCAGCCACGGAAGAAGCGTTCACAGCATCCACAGGACCTGTGTTCCCACCGCCCGACCCTCACGCACGCCCCCGCCCCTTATTTTCTGTTGAACTCCCTGCTAAGTCCCTGTCCTCTGTGACTTCAGGAAGAGCCCTCGGCTGGAGAAGACGTGTGTCTTGAGGAGGGGCTTCTGGGCCTTGATCAATTATACGGGGCTCTTGTGTGCCGGACGGACACACGGACACACGGATCTCCTGGACGCCACGCTCCCCCTTTTGTGTGACGGTCCCGCTTCACACACGGGACAGACGCAGCCCGCCTGTCACTTGCCCGCGACCCGGGAGGGGCTTCAAGTCACCAGGAAGTGGAAAACGCAGAGCCCTTAAAGTTAAAACGGTGAACAAAATCCTCGTGGGGTCAGTCAGGAATGGGACATTTTCTTGTTTTGAGCGAGAAAGCTCCCGTGTAAAGCTCAGAGACCATCGCGTGGCATAGAGTTGATCTGAACTGCAAAATCAAACAGAAAACCGAGGACCGGAACATCGTCTTTAAAAACAGCATATGGTGAAGAAAGCCATTTTAACAGTCACTTGATTAATTCCTGGGACACGGAAAAAAAATTTTTAAATACGTATTTTTAAGTAAAATTCTTAACGTAGTCTTCTAATCTCTCTCCCTCGAGAAAAAGGGGGGGGGAAAGTTCTATAATTTTGGTATTCGAAGAGGTTTCTGTGTGTCAGTAGCTCTCTTACCCCTGAAACACCAGTGTCAGGAGAAACAAAAATGTTTGTAGGAAGGAGTCCCCCCAATTTCCTATCTGTGACAGAAGTCAAGGCTTCATAAATGGCCTTTTAAATCTTATTGGAACAAAGTGAATCTTACTGAACCATCAAAGCCTTCCACACAGATGACCACGGCCCTAACAAGCTCGTCCCCGCGAAGCGTGCATTCAGGAGGCACCGGCCAGCGTGCAGGCCTGTGGAGAGACGCACGGGCGAGGAACGTGGTCTGAAGGGCACATGGGGATACGGACACCGTGGGCCACGCTGATCTTTTCTTCCCACTGGAAATCAAAGCAGGCGTGCGTCCCCTCCAACACGCGTCAAGCACTGTTCACAGAATTCTGGAGAGCTCCCGGAAGCATGCGAGGCAAGTTTGGCCCATTTGTTACTATTCAACTTAACTTCCATCCCTAAGCCTCTCACCTGAGACCTAGAATGATTTTTCTCTTTTGTCCCAGAAGTACTTTGTTTCAGCTATTGGCAACACTTGGCAAAGGAACCTTGGACTAAAGAAAAAAAAAAAAAAAAAAAAAAAAAAAAAACCCGGTGTGGGTGGTCACCGTGTTCCGTTAGCGGTCACTTACTGCCCCGACTTCATTCCAGAGGCCCCTCCCTGCACTCCCGTGTGGCAAGTACCCCAGCAGGGCAGTGGGAAAAAAAGCCAGGAGTTGACGGCCCCATGGGAATCCTGAGCGCTTCTGAAACCACAGAGGAGACTGGAAAGACCACGTGGGAACTCACAGGCCTCCCATTTGCGAAGGAAACATAAGGGTGCACAGGAGAGATCTAGTGTTTGCAAACTTTTCAAGTTATATGGCTAATATCAAAGGCAACTATGCTCCTACCTTTGTCACAGTGTCTCCATCACCACCACGATGTCTCTACTGACCCCCAATCCCGCCTCCGTCCCACCTCTCCGCACCCGGGGCCAGCCGCACTGTGTTACTCTGAGCAGCCAGTCAGGACAGGTGACCCATCCGTTCCAGTCACAGTGACAGCACAGAGGGGCACCTCCTCTTTGCGACGCGGTCCGGGCACGGACCCAAGATAACACGCGTCGGAGCACAGAGTGGGTGAGGGGGAGTCCCCCTCACCGGCCCCGTCACCGTCCATTATTGGAGGTTCTCCAGTCCGTTATGCAAGTCTCCTAACGTTTGACTTCAGCTCTTTGACCTGAGCGCAGCCCTGTGGCATCTGACTTGGGGGGTTTTCTCTGGGGAAAGCCTCCTGGCTGGAGAGCAGATCTTCGTCCCCCTTTACAGGATGGCAGTACGACCCGGCCGGGCGGGGCGGCCGGCTGACAGCTTGCAGCTCCCTTGCTGCGTCCCGGGGGTGCTTAGGGGGGCACGCGTCTTCCCGCGTCCTGGTGGGGGAGGCCGCCGGCCGCGGGGTCCGCCGGGGCCCCGTTCATGGCGCTCTTGCTCCTGTGCCTGGAGAGGAGCTTCTTGTTGAGGATCCTGGTGAGCGTCGCCCCCTTCCTCCGGGCCCCCTCCGGCTGCTGCAGGAACACGAGGTCGTTGTGCGACTGGCTCATGCCAGGGTCCTTCTGTTGATGTCGCCGGCGGAAGAACAGCTTTGCGCCCTTCCTTAAAATCCCTCCTGGAAGAGGAAAGCAGAGGGGGGCGGTCAGGTGGGCTGAGGAGGAAACGCCAGGGCCACTAATCCAAGTGGAAAAGACAAGCAAGGAGGTTCGAACTACTCTAATGAGCAGTGTGCTGTCACTATCCACACGGGAGGGAAACGGCTGGAATCTGGCCCGGACCACACATCAGAGTTTTCAGGGTGAAAAAACTTGGAAGGGAGCCCCAGCGGCTCAGTCGGTAAAGCGTCTGACTCTGGATTCCGGCTCAGGTCATGATCTCACAGATTGTGAGTTTGAGCCCGCACTGGGCTCTGTGCTGACAGCACGGAGCCGGCTTGGGATCCTCTCTCCCTCTCCCTGTCTGCCCCTCCCCTGCAGCTTTGAGCTGTCCCTACCTCGGGTCCCCTGGCCACTCACTCTCCTGCATTAGGAAGGGTGTAAATGGTGAAGAAGTGCCATGTGCCCCCGAAAAGAGGGTCCCGCTATTAAAACACAAAAACGGTCTCTGAGAACAAGGGTATCCGCTGTCTTAGGAGAGTTAAGATCCCTTCTTTCAGGGAGTGAGATGTTGTTTCACTGCAGACCCCACCCTACGTGCCTCGGGCTGTCTTGAAATGTCTGTTTCGGGCTTGTTTCCGACTCACAAGCCCTCAACTTGGTGCGCCTCGACCTGCCTGCAGGATGTCAGCTAGCGGAACACGGAACACAAAAACGGCAACGGCGATGACTCTTCAAAGACCCAGGGCGAGCTCGCGTAGCAACGGGGCCCGGAACCCGCTACACGAACCCCCTCCAGCATGCTGCTGCCCGGGCCCCCCCCCCCCCCAGCAGGGTCCGGGAGCCTTTCGGGCCAGCCTGTGGCGCTCCTCGCGTGTGCACACGTGTAGGCGTGGAGGGCTTCTGGAGGAGGAGCCTTGTGGCTCTTTGGCAGCCAACTATTTTCCTGACCGAGCCCGCGGATGCTTCGGTGGCCGTGACATAGACCAAAGCCGCCGGCGTCTGTCCAGAGGGGACGAGGGGCGCCTGCTGGCTCTCCCACGTCAAATGCATGTGGACGGCGGCGGAGTCTGGCCCCGCCCGGTCTGTGGACAAAGCAGCACGCCCGTGACTTTAAGGGCTCTTAATTGGGTCTGGGGCCAAGGGAGAACTTGCCCTTGGCTCTGTCCAGGCTCAGCCGCAGAACAAGGCTCGAGAGCCCCGAGGTGTAGGCTGAATGTCATCTGATCGGAGCTGCCGGAAAGATCTTTTGGTTTTTTTTCCATTTTCTCTTTGGATATAGTCAAACGGCCTATTGGGAAGAATCATGGGGACGTTTCTACAACTGTCTAAGGCGGAGAGGCTGCGTGCGGGGGTCTCCCGGACCGCGGGAAGGGAAGTACAGACGTGTGAGTGGCTTCACTCCTGCCGCAAGCCTGAGGTGCCGCATCTGGGGACCACGAAGGTCCGTTCCCAGAGCTGTTCAAGTCCCCCTAAGCATGCAGCGTATCGCGAGAAGTCACCAGTTAGGGCGTGTTATTGCACCAACCGCGGCCACCAACCGGACTGGACTTTGGCCAGCGGGGGGCATTACACTGGTGCCTGCTGATTAATTACCCCGGCATGGTGACAGGCTCCAGCCGGAGGGTCGCAGGGGCCGAGGAAGTGTTTCTGACATGGGGACCTGCTTTAGGTTAAGCGTGGGGCCCATGAAGGGCATATTAATGTGGGCTCTCACCTGGAACGGAGGAGGGGAAGGCGGGATCCGTTCTGTTAACTTAGAGTGCTCTGACCCCACAGCCCCCGGTCTCCCCAGGGGAATGGAAGCCCGAGGGGGGCAGGCTGGCCCCATCCCCGGGTCAGCTGGGGGCCAGCAGTAACAGGTGCTGTCCTGGAGGGCCCCGTCTCCGAAGCCCGTCCTAGGTGTCCCCACACTGGAATTTGGTCTGGGGTCTGGAGCCAGGGTCTGAGGTGTGAGCAGGGGTGCCGTCATGGGTGGGGTCGCGTCCCTCCAAAATTCCTGCGTTGGGGTCCTAATCCCCAGCACCTCAGAATGTGGCCTTATCTTACAGACGGGGTCCTTACAGAGGTGATTAATCCACAGGGCGTCAAGGCAGGTACTAGACCAGCGTGGCCGTGCCCCTACAGAAAGAAGAGATGCGGACAGGCACACCCACGGGGAGCGTGCCAGGTGGAGGCAGGGATGGGGTGACGCTTCGATAAGCCAAGGAAGGCCAGAGACACTGCCAAACCCCAGAGGCCTGGCGAGAGCATCCTGGCCCACAGGAGCCACCAGCCCTGCCCACGCCTCGACCTGGGGCTTCTGGCCTCCAGAGCTGGGGGGACTGTCCGTTGCTGAGCACAAGGCTGTGTGGATCGCAAGAGGCCAGCCCGCCCTGCAGGGCACAGCGTCTGGTTCTCGAGAAGCGTGGGTTTGCACCAGATTCCGAGGGAAACCTGAGCGCGGGGAGAGGCAAGAGGGAGGTGTTCAGATTCCCTCAAAAGGGAATCGGCACGTTGTCAAGCAACCCCTTTAAGCCGTTTCAATGAAATCGCACTTGAAATAACTAAAATTCGAATTCTTGCCGTATCACGATGGCATATCAAGGACCCCCAACCTGTGAATAAAACTGGAAAAGCAGAAAGATCTGTGTGCCGTAGTCACTTTGAACGGTCCTGCCAGCCATGGTCTGTCCCACAAGCGAAGGTCTGCTCCCGTGCGTCCCACAGATGGGGCCCGTCGTGGGGTGTTTTCTGTCCTTCCGGGCCCCAGGCAAGCTCTCAGAACAGGGCTGCTGTTTTGTTAAATAGGACTGTTCCAAATCAATACCAGAACCGATGATGTCCTGGGTCCCCTGGTAAAGTCACTTGGGGGTCTCACCAAACCTGTCTTCTCTAACTTGATAGGACTTGTCACGGCTTTATGGGGACAATACCTCCTGCTTGGATGGAAGGGTCATGTGAAAGGAGGGACTGAGGTTTGCAGATCTATAGGCTGGAGCCCCGCTTCTGTCTCCCAGAGACCTCTGAGAGAGATCTCCTCCCCAGCGGTGACGTGCTCTGCCCCACTGAATGGGCCCCAGTGCAGAAAGCCTGTGTTCTCACACCCGGCTCCTCTGTGCTCCTAAGGACGGTGTCTGAGCTGGCCGGGGGGAGGGGGGGGGGTCACACCGCCCAGCAGTGGCCAGCAGGTGTTTGGTAGAGGGCGCATCCGTGGCGGTCACCAGGGGGGCCTCCAGAGAGTGAGATTAAGTCTCAGCTCCCAGAGGCGTCACAGAGCACAGCCTTGCGCTCCAACGCGGGCGTGGGCAGGCTTTCCGGAACCACATAGATCCCGAGAGGCGTGCTGGTAGCGTGTGTCGGGCAGGGCGTTTTACGGACACACGGCCGTCTCCAGATCCGCGGTTTAACTCCTCAAACGTGAGGAGTAGCCAGAGCGAGCGGAGATCATCTCCTCTGCATTTCCAAATAAAAACGTCAAAGCCTGTTGAGCCTCGGGCACACATCACAGTTACCCTTGGGGTAAATAATGACGGAGGAACAAGGCCACGCGTGTGGCACTGACTCCCGCGCTCCGCGGTGGCGCGAGGGGCACCGGACTCTCCCGTCAGCTGAGAAGTCACGCCGTCTGGAGCTCCTTCACCTCACCATGGCCGTGCGGCTGTGTCTTCTGTGTCAAGGTGGCCAGCGTGCCCAGGGACTCAGTCAGACCCTCATCTGTTAGGTGAATGCACTCGGCAGATGTGGGGGTAACACCTGCATTCAGCTATCCCGGACTAAAGCACATTACCCCGGATGATGTGGACGGGCCTCCTCCACTCAACTGAATGCCTTAGGAGCCAACCCCGAAGGGCTCTGGGAGAAGGGACGGTCCCCTGCCCGCCGGCCCCGCCCACAGATTTCAGACTGTCAGAGCCCATAATCGCGTGAGCCAGTTCCTTGAAATGGAGAACTGATTGGTGCCGTTCCTCTAGAGAACTCTGGCTAAGACAGTAACTAAAAGTTTGGTGTGTGATGCTTGCCTCTGGGCCCCCAGAACCTGTCCCCTTTGCTGATGGGGAAGCTCACAGTGCCCAGGCCAGAGGAACTGGAGAAGTCTGGATTTCATAAGCCCCTTTTTTCCAGATTAGCTCAGCCACACCAGCAGTCAGGAGGCAAGACTCAGACCTCACCCACGCTTTAAAGATCCCTTAAGGACAAAATCTGGAGAGAAGATGTGCAATGTGAAACGAATAGCCGAACCCTTAAAGGGGGGGCAGAGGGGAGAAAAATCTTTCCCTGGTTCTAACAAGGTTAAAAAAAAAAAAAAACAAAATCACAAAAACACTGAAAAGTACATAGGAAGAAATTTGAAAATGATTGTTCTAAATTATAGCTTTGCTAGAGCAAATGTTTGCAAATCTATGCTTGTCTGTCTGCACAGACCCTGACAGGCACAAACAGCTCCGCGAAGAACCCGTCTCAAACTCTCCTACGTAGGACAGCGATGACCAAAAGCCACCGTACACGTTGTGGTTTGCTGCCCAAAGAACAGCTTCTGAGTTCGAGCTAAACCCCACATAGTCGGTTTATAAGCGACTGCTTGTTAGAACCAGAGCTCCGCTAAGGGAAGGGGCGTATGCAAATCACAGCGAGCGAGGCTGCGCGCCCCCCGTCTAGGCGCACAGCGCCCGCGCCCCACCCGCGTAAAGTGCCGTACCAACCCAACCAGGCCACGTCTACGGAGGCAACTGCGGACACACACTGGAGAGGGACAGGAAAATAAAAAGGAAGGGAAGGGAAGGGAAGGGGGAGGGGGTCAGCTTCCTGCTGTTACAAAATAATGCTACTCTCGTGGCGAAACCGCACCTAATTTAAAAATACGTATATGAGACAAAAGTCACTTACTGTGTAGGCAATCAATTCTGGTTGGCATAGCGATCCTCTTAAGTTAGAGGGAATGAGCGCGAGGTGACGAGAAGGAAGAGGTCAGAGGTCAAAAGAAAAGTGCGCAGGAGCAAAACAAGAATGACAGACAGTGAGTTCCAAAGCGCCGTGCCCCACGTGCGCGTGAAGTGACCGGGAAGGACGTCTGGCAAGAGTCTGGGGGCTCGGATTGCTTTTTTTTTTT